CGATCAGCGGCGATTTACTACCCGCGTCTCATCCAAGTTCTTACTCATGGTGGTGCCGGCAACGTCAAATTAAGGCTATCAACAAAGCTGGAACTCACAGCTCTAATACCATGAAAATTAGTAATGAACGGAAGCGTAACACACGATGTTTTGTGGTATCCTCGATCGTTTCTTGATCGAGACTAATCCACGGAGGGTTGAGCATCCTCATTTATTTTCTTATTATTATGATCAATGAACATTACGGTCATAGGCCAAGTTACAAGAGTATTTATACCCATCTGCCAATGTAACTAGGGCATAATTTGGAGAATCAACTCTCCTTAGCCACCTAGGACTAAGTGACCAGGCAACGTGTGTCGAGGGCTGTGTGCAAGCTGTGGGCCAAGACCCCTCATCAGTCTCCTCATGTATTTCTCGGCCCAATATACCATTTACATTGGCCTCTGACTCTGCTTTTAGCCTCCAACAAAACATATAATGATAATATCATGATATGACACAGATATTGTATCATCAAGTTATTTTCTTAAACATAAGAACTCACACTAACATCATATCACCATCATATTAACTTCATATCACTATTATATCATCTCCATACAACTATTATATCAACATCATACCACTATCATGTATTTGGAAAAAATTGTATGAAAAAAGTATCAAAATGAATATAACCTTGTAGAGCACAAAAAATTCGATTGATTTTTCTTTGCAATTTTTTTTTGAAATCCAATTTAAAATGAATGCATTATGGTCTGTCGAATTCTCATTTGAGTTTTGAAAAAGACCTTTTAAACAGTCTAGAAATCTGTGCCCAGCTAAGAAAAGAGAAGAGAGAACACATGCACTGGCCTGAACAGGAACAAGACCAACCTATTTTTTCTGTGTCCCAAAAATGCTCCTCCACATTTTTCACCATTAGATCAGTGCCCCTTCTTTCCCAAGCCGTCCATAAGATGTTTTGCAACAGTACAAAATCTTGAAATTTTATATTGGAACCTCAACCTTAAATAGTTATAAAATATCAAAAATTTCCTAAATGACATCTAATTGTATTTCCTAATTATAAAATACCAATTTTTTCTAATCGATATCTAATTGTATTTCCTAATTAACAGCCGAAAAATTTTTCCACCTCAATAACCTACATCTAATGATTATTTTCATAATTAACAAATGAACCCCCACATATAATTCTATTCCCTAACTAACAACCATTCATAATAATGGTCAACTTCATGAATAACCACTTCTTAATCCTTCTCACCCAGCAACTTCCTATAGAAACACTCAACAATATTGGACATTCCATCTGTATCAGTAACCCTTGTACCAGTATCATCCAACAAGGATCTAATCATGTTCCTCTTCTGCCTGCTTTTGATAGATTTGTGAAAGTAATGAGTGTTGGAGTCACCTTCTTTAAGCCAGACTTCCCTAGATTTCTGAAGGAAGAAAGATTCCTCAGCTTCTCTTAACTCTTTGGCTTCTTTTGCAAGTCTAATCTCAACTGCAAATGTGGAGGGAGAAGGGAGCTTTAAGGCCTCAGCCTAAGCTTCCATCAGTTCTGCCGCTTTTAATCTAACCCTTTCACTCATATCAGAGTACACATCCTTATTAAGCTTTTAAGTAATCCTTTTAATATCTTCAACTTCTTACAGACACAAACAAGAGGAGAACCCTCCACTTTCGACTCCCAAACCTCCTTAACCAGTTCCATAAAGCGAGGATGCTTAATCCAGAACTTAAAAAACTTGAAGAGCTTTGGTAGAGACTTTACTGAGCTATCAGTATTAAGAAAAATGGAACAGTGGTCAGAATCTGAAGGATCTAACATATCCACAGTACTAGAATCTAACCCCTCAAGCCATTTTGTATTAACAAACACAGGATCCAATCTCCTGGCTATGGGGTTACCCAACTGCTTGTTTATCCACGTGAACCACGGACCAGAAGATTTATGCTCTTCTAGGTCACAGTCAAATTGCCACTACCTAACGTCAACCATACTACTAGAAAACTAGGGTGCATTAGATGCCTCACTCACATCACCTATTGCATTAAAATCCCCCAAGACTGCCCATGGTGCAGTACTAACTTGAAATTATTTCAAGTCACTGTAAAGGATTCTTCTGTCCAACTCTTTATTAGAAGCATACACCACCAAAAGAAAGGCACCCCTGAAGCTACCATTAAGTGAATGAACTGATTTGTCTTATGGAGAACAGTGAGCTTAACATCAGACTTCCAAATCAACCATAACTTGCCCAATCCCGTAGGATTGCTAGACACTTTGAACTCCCCGCCAGGAAACCGTTTATGAATCATATCATCAGCCTTAGTAGCTCTGAACTAGGCTCTAATATAACTAGTATATCTATACTGTATCTACTAACTAGCTGCTGCACAGCTTTATTTTTATCTGGATCATTAAATCCCGGATATTCCAAACAAGTATTTTCATCGTTTCTTACCACCCTGTGCACGACGTTTGTAGGAGGATGCCTTCTCTGGCATAATAGCTACGCAATGCTTCTGTACTAAATTCATAACCATTATCAGCCTGTATGCGTCTAACACGAGACCGAAACTGTGTCTTAACCATTTAGAAGAACTGTAATAGGTGATTCTCAACATCTGACTTATAGCGCAACAAATATACCCAAACACCACGTGTGAAATCATCCACTATCGTCAAAAAATAATGAGCACCACTTAACGATGCAATCTTGTAACCTCCCAAAAGATCTACACGAATCAGTTCAAAGCTAGTCGTGGTCTTAATAATACTCGACTGAAAAGGTAGACGCGAATGTTTGGCCCGGAAACAGGAGTGACATGGGCCTTTATTTGACTGCAAACTAAAAGAAAGCAAACGACCAACATATGACTGCTTCTCCGGTGAGGGGTGCCCTAGCCGTGCATGCCAATCTACCAGTTCCATAGACTTCTTATGCTGCACACTGCAAGCCTGTGCCTTTCCAGCTCCAAACAGATGTAGGTAGTACAAGCCATCTCTGAGTTCACCCTTCCCAATCAACCTCTTGGAGCGTAAGTCATGGATGATGCAAAAATCATCAAGGAATATCAATGCTACATAATTATCCTTTGTCAGTCTACTCAACGAAACTAGATTACACTGAAATTCCGGCACATGAAGAACTCGTTTCAAACAAAACCCAGGCTGCAGCACAATTGAACCCATGTGTTTTACAGGAATGCTCTCGCCGTTGGGAATGCAAACTGGCTGGCTGGTAAGTTGTGCTTCCTTCCCCGACATTAACGACTCATCCATAGTGATGTGCTCATTGCACCCATAATCAATTAACCATTCAGTAGTAGTAGAGAAATTACCTGCCATGTGAGCTGCTGGATCACGGTCATCTACCCCTTGTCCTGGAGACCAAAAAATTGTTTGAGTTGATTTAGTTGAGCGATGGTAAAACCTGGAACTGGACTTTGAGAAGACTCGGCTTGGGAAGCCCTTGGCTCTCGGCTTTGTTGCTCAATTCTGACTCCATCAGTTGTCTCTCGAGGACGACGCCTGGGTCTATCACCGTGACGTTCCCCGCTGCCTTGTTTGTCATTCTGCCGGTCCCTAGGTGGGTACCCAATTAGCTCCCAGCAACCCTCCTTGAGATGCCCCGGTTTCCCGCAATGAGTACACCGGACGCGCTCTCACTGCTCCCCCGTTCCTCGGGCGCTCCTGTTATTTTCACCCTGTGTGGCGAAGGTTGTGGCCTCGGGCTGCATCTTGCGATTTTGGGAAATTAATTTTTGTTGTTCCGTATTCGAAACAATATTGAATGCCTCTGGTAGATTCGGGGTTGGCTTCATTGCCAATACTTGAGTGTGTACCGCACCAAAAGGCGCTTCATCCAGCCCCATCAGGAAATCGATTAGCCTCGAATTCTCTTGATACTCTCTAATGCGTTTGGACACGTCACAGGTGCAGTGTCCACAGGTGCAGCTCGGAAGAGGTGCGATAGCAGACGCCTCCTCCCAATAAGAACGCAGCTTGATGTAAAAGGAGGAGACTGACCGTTTTTCTTGTTGCAACAGGCTAATGAGACGTCTCAGTTCGTAGGCACGAGAAGAGCTTCCTTGGCCGAAACGCTCTCGCAGGTCGGACCAGATCTCCTGCGCATGTTCCGCAAATCGAATGTTGCTTCGAATCTCTTTGTCCATCGAAGTTTTCAGCCATCCTTTTACCATCGCGTCACAACGAATCCAAGCGCTCCTTTCAACTGGATCAGTAGGTTTGGATAGCGTACCGTCTACGAATCCAAACTTGTTCTTTGCGAGAAGGGCGTCCTTCATATCGAGGACCCATTCTCCATAATTTGACGACGTCAGAATCTTGCCCACCAGCATATTACCCGGTCCGTCCGAGTTGCTCAATTGATATACCGAAGGGAGATTAGGATCTGAGCTGGTTGCACCGACGTGGCCCTTGTTCTTGACTTCGGCTTCATCATCGGATCCTATGATTGATGGAAGCCGATTGCGGAATTGATTAGCCTGAAACCTACCGCTTTGATACCATGAGAAATAGTACGAAAACTAAATAACACTTGGTTTAACGTGGTTCCTCCTCACGGTGTGTGAGGCGTACATCCACGGAGAAAGATTGATGGTCTTATTGCTTATCCCGGCACATGGCCATTACAACTCAATTTATACCATGTTTCACAATCAGCTAGGTTAAAATTTCATGTTCCAAGTAAGTCTCCAACTCCTCCAGGGAAACAGTCCCTACGTGAGCTGCATGGCAAACCACTGAGGCAGCGGACGTATGATGGGCTGAACTGGCAAGGTCCGTGACACGGTCTCGGCCCAATAGGAGTTGAGGCCGGAGACAAGTTCCAATTTCGTAGCTAAATGAGTGTGATTGGGCTACATTGTCAGTGCTTCTCCGGGGTCGATTACTTAGAAGAGAGAGACGACACCAAGTTAGCAATCAAAATTTGTCGAATGGCCGTTACTTCAATTTCATGAAATCCTTCGATGTGCTGGTCTACTCCGGCCACGGTGGAAAACCTCAAATCTCAATTGGGAGGGAGAAGAAGGACCAGCAGCCACAGTACTATAAGCTCGGACGAGGCAACCTCACCCTGACGAATAGCATGGAGGCAAGAACTCTGGTGCGTGTCATTCGAGGCTTCAACTCTAAGACCATGAAGAATCAGCAAGATGAAACTCAAGTGACCGTCTATTTCTATGATGGGCTGTACTTTGTACGGAGTGTGAGCCAGGAGAGAGGGCAACTTGGAAAGCTTGTGTTTAAAATGGAGCTGGTGAGGAATCCTGATCAGCCAAATGTGGTACCTGTGGCGGTTTCAAGAGGCGGTGGGGAGAAGAATACTATGAAGAAGAAAGCCAACCTAGGAAAAGATTGTCCAGAAGGACATTTTATAAGGGAACGAGAAGATTGCAGTCTCTGTTGTGAATGCTTGGGATGGTGAGAGGCCTTCCCCTTTCACTTCCCTACTCACCTGCTACAATGGCGGTGGCTATCCAGTCTAGTTTCAGTTTGAGGTTCTCAGGACTAATGATTCCAGTGGCTAGGGGTTGAGGTCAAGGCAGTATATCTCTGTAGGAAGCTTCATATGTGAATATGTCGGAGAATACAGGGAAGTGAAGAGTAAGGATCGGATAAGGTACCAGTTCGACCTTGGTGTGTCGTCAGCCCGAGATGGACGAGGGTATTTTTATCATTGATGCCACTTTGTTTGGCAATCTGAGTCTGTTCATCAACCAGAACGATCAGCCCAATCTAATAGCAAAGAAGAATTACGATGGTGACTGCAGACTGGTTCGCGTGCTGATGTACTCTGGCAAGGACATCCCTTCTCGGCGGGACAGCGGAAAGTAAATAGTAGAGTATGTAGTTGTAATTACTAGTTACTGGTAGTTTGGTAGTTGAGAAAAACAGTGTTATGAAATGTAAATCTCCATAGCTAGCTAGCTAGCAAAGGTAGTAAAGTGAAATTAAGACTCTCGAGTTAGTATTGTCCCTTTTGGCTCTGGATAATGATCATCATCCTCTTTGTATGTAGACCAAGGTTCCAAATTCCCCTAGTCCTTTCTATTGATGCAGTGCCAAAATTTGTATTGATCTTACAAGTGGTGGAGAGCTTGACTGAAGTCAAATGAAAATGACAATGAGAAGAGAATAATGAGCATAAAAACAAATGAACACTCGTTACAGTTTCTATTTGGCCAGAAGTCTAAAAGCGAACCAAAACCACCAACCACATATTCAATTCTTTCGGCAGGGTTTCTCTCATTATCCTGTTGTTGTTTGCCGAAGCAGTAAGCCGAGGCCTGCCATCCAGCATCTGCCAGCACGGCTCCCACCTCGAATGTCATCACATGAACAGTATACCATGTTCAGAACAAAACACCAACGACGGGGATTCTTACCCAATTTTGCCTAGAGAGAAAAACGAGCAACTAAAGAAAATTTCTGCAGCAATTTTCTGTAAAGCCAACTGACCAGTATAGAAATTCCAGTGAACGAGGCGTTTGGTTTCGACATCTTCGTAGTACCAAATGAAATCAACCTTCTCCTAGGCATTGCTGAGGAAGCGCTAGAAGTAGCGTTGGCCTGGGTAATCAGTGTCGTTGAGCCAGTTGGGTCGGAGGATACCGACGCCCAGGTGGCGGAGGGAGAAGGTAACAGGGTGGGTCCCAGGACCCGCCCTGGTTCGGGGGGAAATGATTAAATTAGGTAATTGATATCGAAAACTAGGTCGCGTTTAATTGAGAATAGTTGGTCGAAAAGTTTTGTGTTTGAATCTTGGCGACCTCATTTCTTAAGTATACGGTATACAGATTTGTGGAAACATCAATTTCCTATAAGTTGACCTTCTAATAAGGGAGCATGGTAGTAAATGATATAATATATTATTGAAATCTTCCAACAACTCGATCAAGTGATACTAAATATTTTTTTTAGAACATCATTCGAAAGTGAACGACTAGGTAAATCATGAATTATTGGTTGGTATAAGATTTATTATTAAACCTCTATCAACAACTCGAGGTATTGATACTAACGGTTCTTAACAGAGAACACCATTTGAAACACTACGGCTAACTAAATCAATGATTAATTGATATATATATACAGAGTGATATTCTTGATATTTTCGACTGCTAATTCATTTTAATTTATCAAAAGTTTTCAACCTAAGATTATATGAAAAAAACTATTTTATCATATTTATTTTTTTCGAGTTGGACCCACCTTAAACAAAATCCTGGCTACGTCATTGGGTGGAGGTACAGCATTCCTGAGCGGAATCGAGGTTGTAGATGAAGGAGGTGTTGTTGTTCCATTCAGCGTCGTAAGTTAGCTAGCCCAGCTGGTTCTGGATGATGTTGAAGTTGCGGTCGTTGGACCAATCGTACTAGAGATCGATCATTTGGAGGGTTATGCTTTGGTTCATGAAGAGTACTGAGTTGAATTGGAGTGGCCCTGGCATCGGAGTTGGATCTTCCGCGGCGGTGGCTAGTCTGGGTCTGGTGGAGGAAATTATCAAGATGAGGAGAAAGATGAAAGAAAGAGAGGGGAATTCCCAGCTAGTAGAGGACGCCATAGGTGTCTACCAATGAGTTCCTTATGCACGTGTATACTTTTTTTTTGGGCGGTATGCTAGTCAAGGATTTTATGCACCAACTGGTAAATGGCGTGGATCGAACATATAACTCTGCGTGTGCCGAACCAACATCCCACCAGTTAGGCTGCCCCTCTTTCGCTTTATAAATACATTAAATTGGCCCAAATTTATGCTTTTAGGTACCTCCTACGGTAACTTAGGTATAATTTCAAGTTAGATAACTTGCATAGATATAAACCATTAAAATCGATCAAACTTATTTTAAATTATTAATTAAAAAAATAAAAAATAAGTAATAAAACCAATGGCAACCCATGTTGCCGGTCACCACACTCACAACTTACCTTTGTTGTTTTTTTCTTTCCTTTTTCATATTTATTTGTTTTTTCTTATTTTATTCTTTTCGTATTTAAATTGTTATTGAATTAGAAGCGTTACATAATCTTTCCGTAATAAATTAGCACTTTACATACCGTGAGATTAATACTCATTACGTGAAGAGACCTTTTATTACGTAAAGGTTACGGAATGATAGTTATTTCTTACGTAATAGTGAAATCGGAAGCGTTACGTAAAGCTTCCGTAATGACTTAACTCTTTACGTAACACGACATTAATACTCATTCCGTAAAGAGACCTTCCATTACGTAAGGCTTCCGTAATGACATTTTACCATTGTTAGGTAAAATACATATTCATTACGTAAAGGTTACGGAACGATAGTTATTTCTTACGTAACAGTTAAATCGGAAGCGTTACGTAAGGCTTCCGTAATGACTTAACATTTTACGTGACGTGAGGTTAATACTCATTACATAAAAGACCTTCCATTATGTAAAGGTTATGGAACGACAGTTATTTCTTACGTAACAGTTAAATCAGTAATGTTTTGTAAAGCTTCCGTAATGACTTAGCATTTTACATAACACTAGGTTAATACTCATTACGTAAAGTCACATTCTATTACGTAAGACTTCTGTAATGATCTTTTGACAACTATTACGAAAGATTACCATATGTTATGTAACCATTACGTAATGCCTATTGTATTTTAGGTAATGCGACCTGTGAAACCTGCTATAGCAGATAAAAAAAATTCAAGTTATCTTACTTCAAGTTATTGTAGGAAATCCCTATATTTTTATGTTATGTGGTAAAATGTGGTTGTTACTTCGTTCCTCGTTCAAGGGATACTTTGTTGGTGTTAATTTTTGGTTAATACTGTAAACTGACCAAAACATTAGAATAATATATTAATTTGGCCAGTGATTTATGCAATACCTATCATATCCTAAACTATTCACTATGTAGACTAATTGTGGCCTAATTTGTTGGTTGACCATCAAGTTGGACGGTCAATACAGTTGGCTGACTGTGTCGTGTCACCGTTAAAAATTAATTCAAATTCAAATAATTTTACCTAATATCTAATTCTTACAATTATGATCCTAAACTAGAAACCGCGACCGTGATGTTTCTCTCGATACTGAAGGCCCGCGAAATGGCTACGAGACCTTATGTGCTCTTGTCTGCAGCATCTCCAAGTTCGCCGCCGTGAATTTTGTGCCTTGACCATGAACTCTTCGCAGCCCATGACATCTCGACCATGAACTTTTCCCCCTTAGTCGTGATCCTCTATATTTACCATTTTTGCATGTTTTAACTACACTTGAGAGTGGATTCTTTGATAAAATCACAAAAGGAAGCATTTTGATACCAAATCAAGAGTTAAATGCTCTATGAGCGCTGTGTTCCATAAGAAAACATCTAAGAAATGAGAGATAGATAACACCACTTTAGGTGTTATCTATGCGGTGCAAGAGGATTCAACCGAGGGATGACAACCTTGGAGTCGATGCTCTATTGATGCCCCAACTTTGTGAAGTTTAGGAGACCGTCTCCTCCACTTCCAAATTTCATCAAGTGTCATCAACCTATCGGGATCAACAATGAACCAATCCTAACAACGGGATGGGGAGATGATGAAGTGAAGCTTGATCGTGAAATCAACTAAAAAGGGGCATCGCTGAGCCTAGCTCAAAGGTATAAGAGAGAGAGTGCATCATAGGAGGAAACCCATGTATGGCGTCAAACTTAATGACGTTAAACAAAAGTGTTACCGAGGAGACAAACCAGATTTCTCTTTTTTGTTAATTTTCTTAATTTTGAGTTTATTTTTGGCTTGAAATTTTGAGTTACTCGGTGGAGGAAATCATTGTATTCCTTAGATAGGTATTACATTTGGAACACATTTTGAACTTATGACGAGAAAGAAGGATTTGATGACATGAAAAATAGTACGAAATGAACTTTTGTACTATCGCGGTAAGTGTTTTAATGAAAAAATGCCGGAAACTGACGCAGAAAGCAAAGGGAAGTAGTGGGTGGTGGTTCGACCCACCGTACCCCCGCCGCTGCCCTAGGGCCTATAAAACCCCCCATTTCGGCCACCAAAACCTCACAACCCCTCATTTACAATTCTCTTTCTCTCTCTTAGCCGAATATCCTTTCCTTTCTCTCTAGGTTTCAAATTTTCTCCCAAAACCTTCAACTTTCAATCACCAATTCCACCTCCAATACCCATAAATTTGCCCTCAGGTACGAGGTACAACCTACCCAACATCAACCAAACAAAGCCCAACCAACAAAATCCAAGAAACTTACTGGAGAAGCTCCAACAATTAGACCTGTCGCACCACTGCCGCTCTTTCTCTCTTCATTCTTCGACTTTTCAGCAGTTCTCATCAATCCAAGTAAATATCCAGGATCTTTAGATGAATTTGGGAGCTTGAATCATGAATTTTAGAACTTCAATTGTGGATTTAAAGTTTAAAATTGCTTGAGAAATAAAGGGACTTCTCTTGCTAATTTTATGCCTATGTAATTCACAATCGATGTTTGTGAATGAATGATGATAGCTAGTAAGCTTAGAAATGAGATTTCATGGTTATTATGATGTTTTAATGGATTGTATATATGCTTGAATGGATTGGTGAATTTAAGCAAAGGTCATGCCAAAATTTTCAAAATGCAAACATATCATCTTTCGTATTGAACTTTAAATGCCAAGTTATGCGAAGTTTCGAATTTGTTGTATGAGTTTTAAATTTTGAGATTTCAGTGGGAGTAGGGCATTGCTAATTTCAAATGTCATTACTAGGTTGGATCAAATTTCATGTCATTTTACTTGGCCCAACTTATCAATCGACCTTTTCCTAATCGTGTAACTTGGAGCTTCCAAACTTTTCAAATTATCAAGATAGTTATTTCATGCTACTTCTACATTTTGTGCTTAACTATTTCCGATCTTTCAATGTGCTTAAATGACATATGAAGTTGTATGAGTTAATATATTGCTAATACGTGCTTGAGAAGTTATATGATTAGCATATAGAAAAAACTATGCTCTTAAAGTGTGGGACTATTCCCCTATCTATCTATTCTTACTTAGGTTTCTTTCTATTAAGCAAGAGAATGAATCGAATGCCAGGATGGCTAATGCAGCACAAGAAGAAGGGGGATGATGGTGCTTCTTCTTAACTGTACCACGACATCCTAGTCCACCAAAAGCGAAGCCATAGTATGAAGCAGTTCAAAGGTATGCAAGACTCAACAAGAGTGAGCCAGTAATCGAGCAAGAAGAGGAGGAGGATTTGAGGAACTTGAATTCTCAATATCGATTCGTTCGAAGATCCTCCAGCAACAACAACGGAAGGTTATCGTTGGATAGTGGGATGAAGGAGAAGGAGCGGAAATCTGTCACATGAAGCCAAGGTGTGGGAGACTGACATCTTGCTTGAGATTAGAGAGGACACATCGGAGGCACCCTATATCCTTTCCTCCAGTTTCCCGGCAATGGTTTTAGTGCCAGGAAGGTGGAGAGATGGGAGAGATACCTATGGACGCCCATGGAGAGCTTGACTGGCCATATTTTGACTAGTACCAAGGATGGTGCGCAATATTGAGACAAAGAATAGATGATGTTGGTCTCTTGTCCTTATTCAGCATCAGAGGAGAGATCTATGACATACTCATGAGGGAGTTACTGGCCACCTTGATCGTGAGTCCAGCAAGAGACTCAAGCTAGAGGTGCATCTTCTATAGATTGGCGGGACGACACTTCAACGACAATTATGATAGCTTTGCCATGAAGTTGAGGATTCTACTTACCATAGGAGAGGACTAGTATCCGACACTATTTTTGGAACTTATTGGGAGCCCACAACACATATATGTATTTCAAAGAGTTATGAAAGACGATCATGAAAGACTAAGAGGTCGAGTTTGTTGTCTGATACCCAACACCGACCCACATTCAGCTGCCATTCCTTAGGTTCATGCTCTACTTGAGTCGAAACAGTTTTCATATGAGGCAAGAGGGAGATGCTGGAAGGTGACCACCAGTGACATGATCTTCTATCATGCTTTATTGAACAACTGGTGGCTTCACCTAGCATGATTATTTGTTGACAACCTGTTAAGCTACACTTGTCACTTCTCCACGAGGACTCTAGTAGTAGGCTATATCTTGACCATAGGCCAACACATTGACGAGGATAGGGAGGAGTTCATATTTTCTCTTTGGGGCACATTGGCAAGGGAAGGATCAATTTATTGACATGCAACTTTCACCTTTGGAGTTGACAGGGTTACAAGCAAGGAAGTAGACTTCACCATCAATGTTTGTCCATGATACATTGTGTGGATGGCGGCAGGGAGACCAATGGCGCACCTATTGAGGATACATGAGCATGGATTTGGATTTGACCACCCACAACCTCAGTATGATGACTAAGGAGTCCAGCTAACAGAGTTGAGAGAAACTGTGGAGAGACAAGAGGAGAACCTAACCAACTACCAAACGTTGAATGAGAAATACTAGGATGGCTTTGAGCAGGAGAGACATATGGAGCTTGAGGAGACTTGAGCTTGGCGGGAGAGACAGGAGGCAGAGCTGTAGTGGAGCCATTCGTGGATGGAGGACTTAGGGATATCATTCAAGACCCTCTTTGCAGGCAGTCGACCACCAACAGGAGGATCCAACAGATAGAAGATCAAGACTTTGAGCAAGCTATCTTTTGTTTTATTTTGTTTGATCATTTTGTGTCTTTTTGAACAATCATGGAAAACTAGCAACTATGAACTATGAGTTCGAATTTTAAACAACAATCAAGGTTAACTCGTTCCAACCTTACCACGACTCACTATATTTTAGTCCATTGTGGACAATGTCCATTTTAAAGTGCGGGGTGAGAATTATTGATATGCTTTGCCTTGATATGCTAAGTACTTGATACATGATTAGTTATTCAAAATTTGAAATTTTTCAATGGTAAAATGATTATGATATGTGATTAAATGTTTTTTAAAGTACTAAAGATGTTTTCCATCTAAAGTCTATTAGTCATCCTCTATCTTGATTACTTCTCATCTTACTTTGAATCAATGAGTCTAGTAATCACCACTTGATCTAGGGAGGATATTGTAGTGACAGTGAAAGATGTGTTAGTCAATGGGATATAATGAGCATTTTTTGTGCTAGGATGTCATGTTGTTTGATCTATTCAAAGATTTCTGATTATGCAAATGAGTATCTTGTTTTCAAAAGTTTTCAAAGGGTGAACTGTATCTGTAGAAAAATGCAAAAATTCTATACATCAAGACATTGTTTCATTCGAAAATTTGTCATGTTGTTTTGAGAAATAAAGTGTTAGGTATACTGATTGCACTAAATTGTTTCATTCTATACCTCAACGTGTGAGACATCTTTTCATTGCACTAAATTGGATTTTGGAAGAGATACTAATTGATCTTTGGTGCGGACAAGGTGATGCTAGTTCTTCTCTAGTACAAGTAAAATTTTCACTCGTTGCATTGATTGCCAACTTGAGGAGGTGATTTTAAAGGCACGAATAACGCTCCCAACCCCTCTTAACTTCATTGACCCTCTTAACTTCAAAATCCAAAATTTAACACAAACCTTCATTTTCAAATCTTTGATCCACACCAACCCTCAAATTCATGGATCGTCCATTTGACTAATCTTCCTAACATCTTCTCGAATAAGATATTATCCTCCCTTTAGTCGCATAACAACTTACAAAGTTACAATGAGCTTCAAAACTGGAAGAACTCCAGATCAACAAGCCATACAAAGAGAGGATTCTCCCATGAAACTGAAACTATAATACAATACAACTATTAAGTTCAGCTCTCCTGTCTTTTGAAGAAATTATTTGGGTCTCTCATTCAAACACATTATTCTGCCATTCCTATCATATTATACATTAGACATGTCCACACTGGCACACCGCACACTATATACTACAGAAAGAATTGTCCAACACCAAACTGGTTCCCAGCAACACCGGGGAGTTTTCTTATTACTGTCTTAAAGAGGCTGTATGCTTACTAACTGAATTATCAACACCAAATAGCTACTGGTTCCCTGCAATAGGGGCACCGGGGTTCTTCTTAATGTCATCCCATCCTCGTACCCATGGCTGCCCAGGAATTGCCCTAGTTTCAGGAGCCGCGTGGCTGTTGAGGTTGTTCAAGATCTTATTACGCACCTCACAGAACACCTACCACACAAGGCCAAATAGAGAGATCCTTTTAAAAAGCAAACAAGATTCACCTTAAACCCAAAGAAACTGAGAAGCTGCATTAGTTCCTCCATGGCCCTCTACTAATGTCTGCAAATCAACAGCTGAAATGCAGACTACCAAAGCAGTATCATAAAAAACTTGATGAAGTGTAATAAACTTCTGCAGGACTGCACCATTACAAATCTCAGGCTTCACTGATCGAGCCAGCCTTTATATTTCACATAACCCCACGAAATTGGTTTCTGGTATGTGCATATTCAATTCTTTCTAATGATTTTATATATTGTATCCTGCCATTCTAAGCAAAACAACTCACCGGATTTTGGCCCACTACATCAGGGGGTTGCTCCTGCCCCGTTAACCACTTCCACAGATCAGGATTTTCCTGACAAAAAGAGAAACAAAGGGTAAACAATTGTCAGAGCATATCCTATGTAAGTCTAGCAAGGTAAATTCTGCGTTCATGTGCATTCTTCAGGAGAAGCAATCAACAATTCTATCTAAAACGTCATAATTCCTAAACCAGAAGCAAAGATCTTGCAAGGGTCAAGACAGGTCAGCATAAACATCCAAATCAACCACCGTTTTCGCATCACAACTAGGTTGGGGCATGTTCTCAGTTGAATTACCATGAACAGGTTAAACCATTGAGCCCCAATTTAGCAAGAAATCAACAGTTTCAGATCAGAAAGTTGTACACTGATTTAAGAACTACTCGAGATATTCATACAAACTAAGATGAAAACCTCTAGGCTCACTTCGGAATTTGGCAAATTCAGGCATAAACTCTGAAATGGAAAGCACTCTAAAGCAGCTAGTATCTCGGCAATCAAATAAGACCGGAGGGGGGGAAAGCCCTAAGATTGAAGCTCTATTTCCTTACCAAATCAAGGACATCCACCAGCGCTTTAATACCGTTTTCATCCATGGAATGAATGTGCTCCTCTACCCATCTCCCAAGTACCAAATCCAATTCCAGGTATCCTCTCTGCTTGCTCCTGTACAGCAACCTGGAACAATTCACCATTCACCAAGCGTCACGTTATTTCTCCAAAGCATTCATCAGCAAAAGAAGCCAACCAAATTCAGAAGGAAAAAGGGAGCAACAAAAAGTAATCCGAGACCTATTAAATAAACGCCGTTTGCTCTCTTCACTGGAAAGATCAACAGGAATCGTTCCGGAATCACCGTTGCCCAGGGTCGAATAACTAGAAAACCAGAAACTGTGTTCTCGTCTGAAAAAGAAGAAGAAAAAGAAGACAACGATTGAAGTCTAAGGGACACAAATTACTCTAATCAGCTGGGGAGGGAAAGAAAAGAAAACAAGAAGAGAAGTTTCAGGCGACGGTTTCACGTACTGGAAAACAGAGCCGGTGCGGATTGGGGAGGGGAGAAGCGGTGGAACCGATCTACGATTAGTCGCCGCCGTGGCGTTGAGTATGCGGCGGACGGCAGTGAGAGTTCTTCCGAATCTCGCCATCGACGTGATCTAGGAGATGACACTGTATCACGGTTACCGGAGGGTAGGTTTGGAGGATTCCGGTAGCTGGAACGGCCAGTAATTGGGATAGCACGCAAGAGGACAAGAATGGCAGATTCGTGGGCTTTTAATATAAATAAATAAATGACCGAAAAGAGAAAGTCGCCATACCACACTCAGGGCCTACTAGCCCGCCATCACATCCGTGGCCCATTTTGGTTCACTCATTGTCACGTTCAATTGCCCTCATGGACACCGTATTCCCTAACCCACATTAATGGTTGATTGTCTTCCACCGATAACCAAACCCTACGCCTGAACGCCTCCAACTTTTTGTGCTTTGTCATGAAGAGCCAACAAAACCATCCTCCTAAGTCCTAAGTCCTAATTTTCATCCAAAGTTGGCATCAGACTTGCCCATCATCCTCCTCATTTTTTTTTTTTGACAAATTTGAGACATGGTAGGAAGTTAGGAAAAAAGATAAGTTTTTATTTAATTGGAAGAAGATCAATTTTTTTTTATGGGGAGAGAACATTTTGGAAAGAGTTATAAGTAAAATTGAGGAAATACAACTTATTTATAGAGAAAAAGAAATTGTTATTGGATGAAAGAGCCGGTGAAATTGGAGGAGGAATTGTGAATTTGATTTTCTTTTAACTAACAAAAAAAAATGTGTGTGGATTTTTAAGAAATTTTCTTAGATCGAATGCAAAAAAACAACGCTGAAATGCTATGTTCTCTCTTCGGAAATTGCAGGTGATGGTTCCCCTTTCGTCTTCTCTGTGAGCTCCTGAGTAGCGAACATCGCTTCATTTCCTTTGCTCTCTATTTATGGGTAGTCCTGAGCACTCCCAATCCAGGGAGGGTTTGGCGCCGATTTGGCGGCCGATTGTCGTGGTGGCCTAGTTTGGGGCTCGATTGGTACATGCAAGGCGATGGAAGTGGAGCTTCTGGAGGAAGATGGATCTTGTGCGACAGGAGCCGGGTGACTGCGGAATTGAGAGGTTCAGGGGAATGTGGCGGCGACCGGTCCAACGATGTGCATACGGTATCACGGCATCGTGACAGCTGGGATTCGCTAACGATGCGAATTCAGAGTCTGTTACCGAAGATCCGAAATTCAAAAAGAAAAAAGAGGAAATTAAAAAATAGTGAATTTGGCAGATATGTCTGTTGGGGGAATCTTCAAGGATTATCCCGAGTTAGGAGTTTTTCCCAAATACGTTGCTAGGGTTGGTAGCTGTTATAAACGCGCTGCTACGGATCGGGAAATCGCCGGAATCAACAAAGCAAGAATACGAAAGCGAGAATCGAAAACACAGACACACGATTTACGTGGTTCACTAACACGATGTGTGTTAGCTACGTCCACGGGCGAGAGAGAGTCAGTTTCACTATATCGAGGAGATTACAGATTACAGAAGAGTATGAGAAGTATTTACAGTACTTCTCCATGTGGGTCTAAACCTAATCCAATCTGGCAAAGGAAACGGTTAAAGACCAAGCCCAGAACCCGAACCCAAATAACATTGAGCCCATACACCGTGGGCCGGGGGTGTTGCCCTCGATTACCAGTCGTAGCGGCTGATAGTCCGATTCAAGTCACATCAACAAATCTCCACCTTGACTTGAATCCTCTTCCTCTGAAATATCTGATGTACTCTGCTCCTTCTATCTCTCTCCCGCCATCAATGCCCCGCAGGGCGGAGTCACCCACTCAAGACATTCAGCAAGTCCAAGCAGTGTTGGAACTTGCCATGTGGAACCGGCTTCGTGAACATATCAACAGGATTATCCGCGGTGCCAACCTTCATCACCTTAATCCTCTTCTCTGTCCTCAAGATATGATATCTCACGTCGATGTGCTTAGTCCTCTCATGGTGGACTTGATCCTTGGCCAAGCATATTGCACTCAAACTATCGCAATACACCACTGCCTGATCATGATGTAGACCCAGATCACCAACCAGTCCCTTCAACCATATTCCCTCCTTAGCAGCTTCTGTCAATGCCATATACTCTGCCTCAGTAGTAGACAATGTCACCGCCGACTGCAAAGTTGCCTTCCAGCTCACTACAGAACTCCCAAGAGTGAATACATAACCGGTCATCGATCTTCTCGTGTCAACATCTCCAGCATAGTCCGAGTCAGAATACCCAGACACCAAGCACTATGTATCACTTCCGAAGCTAATCCCTACATCAGGTGTACCCTTAAGGTACCGGAAGATCCTCTTCACAGCCTGCCAATGCTCCTTCCTAGGTTGTATCATAAACCTGCTAACAACACTAACAGCATGTGCAAGATCAGGTCTAGTGCATACCATAGCGTACATCAAGCTACCTACTGCACTAGTATATGGGACTCTCGACATGTACTCCTTCTCAACCTCTTACTGCGGTGCATAAGCTGAGGATAGATGAACATTTGAAGCACTGGGAGTATTTAAGGGCTTTGCTGAAGACATGCCAAACCTCGACAGTATCTTCTGGATGTAGCTCTTATGTGACAAGAACAGCTTCTTCTTCGACCTGTCCCTGTAAATCTCCATACCCAAGATCTTCTGAGCAGCTCCCAAATCCTTCATCTCAAACTCAGCACTGAGAAGCCCCTTTAACTTCTGTATATCAGACTTTGACCTCGCAACTATGAGCATATCATCCACATACAGAACAAGATAGATAATCGAACCATCCTCCACCTTGTTGTGATACACACAACAATCATATGGACTTCTACTGTAGCCCAGCTCAAGCATGTAACTGTCAAATCTCTTGTACCACTGCCTCGGAGATTGCTTAAGTCCATACAAGGACTTCTTCAGCTTACAAACATAGTCTTCTTTTCCCGGAACCTCGAATCCTTCTGGCCGAGTCATGTAAATTTCTTCCTCCAACTCTCCATGTAGGAAAGCTGTCTTCACGTCTAGCTGCTCGAGCTCCAAGTCATAATGTGCCACTATTGCTAGTAGCACTCTGATCGAAGTATGTCTGACCATTGGTGAGAAAATCTCATTGTAGTCAACTCCTTCCCTCTACAAGAAGCCTCGTGCAACCACCCGAGCTTTAAACTTCATGCCATCTTTAGAAGTGATTCCTTCCTTCTTCTTGTAGATCCACTTGTTTGTAACAATCTTCCTTCCTTGTGGTCGTTTGACTAGCTCCCAAGTCTGATTCCTGTCATGGAATTCCATCTCATCTACCATTGCGGCAAGCCACTGATCAGCTTCGCCACCCGAAATGGCTTCTCTATAGGACTGTGGCTCACCTGCATCCACTTCTTCAGCAACCTGAAATGAATACGCCAACATGTCCTCGAAACCATAACTCTCTGGAGGTACTCCTGCAGTTGCTCTCTTTGGTCTATCGGAAGCTATAGACTGTTGAGCTCCTGCACTGGAATTTGAAGTTTCTGGCTCTGCAGAGACATTCTCATCATGTTGATCTTCTCCACCTTGGTGCTCAAACTCACTCTCATTGAGAGTTTGCAGCTCCACCTGCTTATCAACATTCCTGCTACCTTCAACAACAGTAACCTTCAGCATGGGGTTAAACATAGACTTCTCATCAAATATCACATTTCTGCTGAGTATAACTCGACGCTCAGAAGGTGACCAGACTCGAAATCCCTTAACTCCATCTCCATAACCCACAAATACACCCTTCTTTGCCCTTGGGTTCAGTTTACCCTCATCCACATGATAATAAACAGGACACCCAAAAACTTTCAGTGAAGAGTAATCAGCAGGCTTACCATACCACTCATAAGGAGTCTTCAACTCGATACTTGTGTGAGGTCCACGGTTGCTCAGGAAGCACACCATATTCACGGCTTCTGCCCAGAATCTTCTCTCTAGTCCAGCATTAGAGAGCATGCACCGTGCTCTCTCAACAATGTCTGGTTCATCCTTTCTGCAACGCCATTCCGCTGGGGTGTATCTCTCACAGTCCGATGACGGGCAATCCCTTCATCCTTGCAGAATTCGTTGAACTCAGAATTACTGAACTCCAGACCATTGTCCGTTTGCAGCTTCTTGATCTTCTTACCGGTCTGATTCTCCACCAATGTCTTCCACTGCTTGAACTTCGTGAAAGCCTCACTTTTCTGCTTCATCATGAAAATCCAAGTAAATCTCGAATAGTCATCAATAATAGACAGAAAATACCTGCTGCCTCCAATGGATTCAACTCGTGAAGGACCCCAACAGTCAGAGTGGAGGTAATCTAGTATCCCCTTCGTCCGGTGGATACCCTTCTTGGGAAACTTGCTGCGATGTAGCTACCCAAACACACAATGCTCGCAGAATTCCAAATTATGCATCTTGTGCCCGCAAAGAAGATCCCTCTTCGACAGAAGTTGCATCCCTCGTTCACTCATATGCCCCAGTCTCATGTGCCAGAGAGTGGTCATATATTTCTGATGAACCTGAGACGATACAACTGCAGCAAAACCAGACAACACAGACCCTTGTAATGCATACAAGGTCCCACGCTTCACGCCCTTCAACACCTTCCTTGAACCTTTGCGGACATACAAAACTCCACCTTTTCCTTTGAAACTGAAACCCTTGCTGTCGAGTAGACTCAAGGAGATCAGGTTCTTTGTCATTCGTGGAACATGCCTGACATCATTCACGATACATAAAGAACCATCATGTGTCCGAACCTTTATGGACCCGATTCCAACAACCTTGCAGACAGCTCCATTTTCCATGACCACGTTACCACCATCTATTTGCTCGTAGGTTGTGAAGAAATCCCTGTTCGAAGACATATGGTATGAGGCTACAGTATCCAGAAACCACACATCACCACGATGTGCCTTCTCATCTACAGCCAAGGCGAGATCGTCTTCAGAACTGTTGTCCACTTCCGCCACGGCAACTGAACCTTATTTCTTTTGTTGCCCTCTTCTCTTGGGACAGTTGTACTTCCAATGCCCCACTTCCTTACAGTTGTGACAAGCATCACCTGGCTGTGGACGGTGACCCTTGGAATTCTTGTTCGAGTTCCCTTTACCAGATTTCTTCTTTCCCTTTCCACTTGTAATAGCCAAACCCGATGCCTCACCACCTGTACCAGATCCGGACTCCTTATGTCTGATCTCTCTCGTATGAAGAGCATACCTGACATCTTCCAACGACACACTTTCTTTACCAGCAATGAAAGAATCAACGAAATTCTCATATGAACTCGGCAAAGAAACCAGTAGGATTAGGGCAGCATCCTCATCATCAACTTGAACATCTATATTACGCAGATCCAACAAAATAGAGTTAAGTTGTTCGAGATGTTCCCTCAAAGGCGTACCTTCTTGCATCCTCAAGCTGAACAACCGTTGCTTGAGATGCAGCTTGTTGGTTAGAGACTTAGTCATGTACAGACTCTCTAGTTTCAACCACAAGCCCGCAGCAGTATTCTCAGCAGCGACTTCAATGATGACGTCGTCAGACAATGATAGCATGATGGTCGAGTGGGCCTTCTCCTCTAGGGTATTCCACTCATCGTCATCGACCGCTGCCTTCTTCTATTTCGCAGACAGCGGCCCCCACAGCCCTTGCTGTTTTAATAAAGCCTGCATCTTGATCTGCCATATAGCGAAGCTGTTCTTCCCCGTGAACTTTTCGATCTTCATGTTCACTGACGTCATTTTTCTGAATCGAAAACCCTAGCCTGATTTCCAGCCACGGCTCTGATACCACTTGTTATAAACGCGCTGCTACGGATCGGGAAATCGCCGGAATCGACAAAGAAAGAATACGAAAGCGAGAATCGAAAACACAGACACACGATTTACGTGGTTCACTAACACGATGTGTGTTAGCTACGTCCACGGGCGAGAGAGAGTCAGTTTCCCCTGGACCCCACTCGCTGACCGGGCAGCGAGACCCCCGATTACCAGTCGTAGCTGCTGATAGTCCGATTCAAGTCACATCAACAGTAGCGAATTGCGTATATATACCTATGTTTCCTTGATCTCGAGTGTGATGGCTGAAAGAAGGAGATTGTAATAGGTTTTATTTGCATGCGGTGAATAGAGCTCGGCATCGCCGGAACTTTGTAGAGAAGTTGCAAACGCCCAGTTGGGAGTGGGTTTCGGAGGAGACAGATAAAGTGGATCGGGATACTCGGTTTTATGCTCATTTGTTCACGTTGGAATCGATAGTGGAGGATATGGAGAGCCAATTCATCGAGTTACCAATTGAGAGGAATGTCTTACCAAAAATGAACGATGTGTTGGCAGCAGAAGTGTTACCTAAGGATATCCAGAAGACAGTTTTTTCAATGGGCGCGAAACAGGCACCAGGTTCGGATGGCTTCACTGGGAATTTTTATTGTGCATTTTGGGATATTGTGGGTCCGTGAGTGTTTGAGGTTGTACGATCTTTCTTTCAAAATGGGAGCATTTTACGAAGTTTTAGTCTAACGGGGCTTACTTTAATCCCAAAAGTGGATAAGGTGGAGAATATCAGGCAGTTACGGCCGATGAGCTTATGTCAATTTGTGTATAAAATTATCACAAAAATCATGGCAGAGCGACTAGCCGTACACTTACCGGGTATTGTTTCGATCAGACAAAATGCATACTTTAGGGATTGGCAGATAGTGGATAATGTTCTTATTGGCCATGAGCTGATGCATTACCTCAAAATTAAGACCAAAGGTAATAAGGGGTATATGGCCCTGAAAGTTGATATAGAAAAGGCCTATGATAGGGTGGAGTGGCCTTTCTTATTGGCGGTCTTGGAAAAAATGAGGTTTTGCCCAGAGTGGGTTCGTTGGATACAAGAATGTCTCTCATCGTCCTCGTTTTTGGTGATGATGAATGGCACTCCGTCAGGTTTTGCCCTGTCCCCGTTGTTGTTTGTCCTTTTCACAGAAGGATTTGCGGCTCTTCTTCGGAAGGACGATTAGGTGGGGTGAAGGTTAGCCCTCGGGATCCTGCAGTTTCCCATCTCTTCTTTGCTGATGACCCACATCTGTTCTCGAGGGATGATGCAGGAATGTGATGCTTTGTTGTGTGTTTTGTATGAGTATAAGGCGCTAAGCGGCCATAAGGTTAACTTGGCTAAATCAGTGGTTTGCTTCAGTCGGAACATTCTAGAGTCAGATTGTTTATTGATGGCCAATCGGCTGGGGGTCGGGGCTGTTGGGTCCAGGATAAGTATTTGGGTCTCCCAACTTTGATTTCCAGGTCTAACACTGCTACTTTTTGTTTCCTCCAGTAGGCTTATACTTGCTAGGTCGTGACTCGCTCCTACCGTCACTCTAGAAAATGGCCAAGTCTGCAGTCGCGACTAAAGGTCTCCAGACCCTCTCAATCTGAGTCCCCAGCGGGCGACTAATCTCCACCGGAGTAAACAGATTGAGACCCTAACGAACCAAACCTCCACTACCGAAGTAAATCCAGTACAGGATAGAGAATCGACTCCTCGACTAAAGTTGTCAATTCCTTACCTTCAATCAAGGGTGCTCTATCAACCTACGCAGATATTCTCTTTCTAGGTCAAAGGAGAAATAACAGGAATTTGATCAGGATTCATGTCATTCAACAAATAAAACCTCAATTGAATATAATCATATCACTGAATCTGTACTTGGGTTCATACAATCAGACCTAACATACAAATCTAGGGTTCTACATACCCAGGTGAATAAGAAAGTTACTCCATAGAGAGAGACGGGAAATCTAGCTCAGATGCGGAAACCACACTGTGAAGGATGAGATTATGCTTCTGGCACTCAATCAGCTCTTCTCCAAGCTCAAGTCGGGCTCCAATGGTGATGGAGATCGATCTAAGGCACTTGAAGAATCAGGTTCGTCACTTTCTCTCTCTAGGTATACGGTTTATCTCTCTAAAACTCGCCCCCCTCTTTTGGCTCGAAATTGGGTCAAAAACCTAGCATTTCCCGACCACATGGCCAGGCCACACGACCGTGTGGATTCCCAGTTTGCCCGTGTGAGAATGGAAACGCCGCGTTTTGATTAGTGGACTTCAGGCACGCTGCACGGCCAGAAGCACACGGCCGTGTGGATTTCCAGTCTGGCCGTGTGAGCTCCCTGGAATTTAACGGCCACATGGGTCCCCTACACGGCTAGTGTGGCTTGCCCGTGCAAAGTGGTGCCACACGGCCAAGTCACACGGCCGTGTGGAATTTTAGGCGTGCTCGTGTGAGTTCCTCAGCTTCTCGCCAAACGTCCAATCTTCGTCCAATCGACCCCGAACTTGTTCCCAAACCTTCATTCACGTACTAGGACGTGAAATATCACAAACAAGAACAACCTAGCGTGAAATCGGCCTAAAACACGAGAAATAAGACTCAAACGGTACAAGAATGGTGGACAAAAACATGTGTATATATCAAGTCATCAAATTTCCCCACACTTAACTGTTTGCTTGTCCACAAGCAAACCAAGTCAGATACAAGGTAAGCTCACATATTTCAATGATACCAACATTGGGGACAAATCATATAGGTACAGAACACGTGAATCGTACCGGCTTTTGATCATTGCGAAATGGACAACTCAACAACAACCTGGACAACCACCACAGAGGACATTCGAGTGCGGCAAAATCGGGTAATGGAAGAGGAATCATTTCTGCTCACCAACCAACATAGACTTGACTCAACCACTTGACCAAGACAGCCATCGCATGCATCAAACTCAAGACATCAAAATCAAGACCGAGCCATCTACGTCCTCACCGGGGTAAAGAGCATAAAGAATAAGGAAATGAATCACTCACTCTCGACCAGTGGGGCCAGGGCCTTTGATGCAAAAAATGTGCATGCTTATTCTCTCAAATCCTAACATCTCTTCACCATGATGGCAACCTCTAAATGTTAGAGTTCACACAAGGGATGTCACCACTTACTAATCCGGAGGTCTTAGACACAGGTTCAAGTGACTGGCTAGGGTCTTGGACATGGGGAAAAGGCCTTTTAGGTGGTGGAAGTATTCATAGCACAAGGTTCCACATTTCCAAAACCAACACAATCACAGTCAATCAAACCACTTACTTTCATTCTGCCATTCTGCATTACTCAAATTCTCTAGAGTACAAGAGCGAAGGAGGTCACATAAATGTTAGTATTTCCAAGCCAGACAGCTAAGAAACACTACTTAATGAGCATGATTCAGAATTTTTGGGTAATGGCTCTCTTTTGCTTTCATTCTTTTTTTTTCTTTTTTCTTCATTTCTTCATTTTTTGAGAGAACCACCACCTCCGCACATTTTTCAAACACATGCCCAATTTTAAAGCATTACCTCCTACCCTCACATTAAATTTAGCAGAAATAGAAGAGAACATGCAAAAACCACTCTGTGTAACCTTCTAAGAGATGCAAAAGGGTGATTTTCCATTGTAGACCGAAAGAAAGAAAAGTACACCGCTCAAAGGGCTGACTAGGGGGTATGATACACCAGGATAATCAATTTGGTCGTGGGCTAATCATATACCTCCATCATCTTAGTTAGTGACAACGTGAATGCTACACATCATGGAAGAGGGAATTATCGCACAAGAAAGAAACGAGCAGGCTCAAATCTCACATGGCTACCTATATGCTCTATCTCTCATTGTGATTCCCTGAACTAGATGCATAAACGACTGTCAAGAGCAAGTGATCAATCCAAGTCACAGTTGGTAAGCAAACAGTTGAAAAAACTGAATCCCTACACAATTCTACTGCACGTCTCAGTTATCATCATAGGTTGTCCTAGTTACAATCAAGCTGTCGTGCAATAATTCGAAAGCCATTTGATTCACCAATCAAATCCATAGTGCCAATATGATCACGCAAACCTCAGTACTTGGAGCCCTCAAATCTCGAGATTTGGACAGTGGACTAGGCTCCAAGCACACATATAGACCCCCCACACTTAAGATCGACATTGCCCTCAATGGAGCAGAGGAAAAGAGAAGGGGAACGAGGTTACCGGGTGGAAATACTGCCGGGAGACTGGAAGTGGACCAGTCAGCGTGAAACAGATGGAACGACGAAACATTTCTACATGAAGGGAACATAAAAAACACACTAGCACACTGTGTGTTAGGGATCAGAGTTAGCCCAGATGGCCACAAAACAGACAATCCGCAAAAGAAAGAAAAAGGAACAAAAACAAACGACAGACTCAGTTCAAGCTCCGCACACACATGGAGCAAACTCAAAAAGTCTTAAACAAAAACACACTCGGAGGAGCGACGAGTACATACTACTCGGAGGAGCGACGAGTACATACTACTCGTCGCCAAGGTTGTCCAAGTCGATGTCGTCCATGAAGGCATCATCACCGGCTGGCGGAGGTGGAAGTGGAGAGTCCTCCAGACTGGCTGCTCGCCCGGTATCAGCTGGAGCAGGTGCTGCTGGACCTCCTACATATGCCGAGACCGACCCCGCTCCCTCTCGATGTGAGCCAGGGTCACCCCTACTGGGCCTCCATAGACTCGAGGCGCTCAGCATAGGCATCCATCCGGGTCTTATACTCGACCTGGTGAGCCGAGTACTGCTGCTGGAACTGAAGGTGATGGTCGAGGAGTTGCTGATTCTGGATACTCAGCTGCTGGAACTGGTGAGTGAAGTAGTCCTAGGATGGGAAAGTGGAACTGCTACTCCCGTAATCGAAGGTGGTATGGCGGGGAGCATCAGCAGCGTCCACGTCCTCGGGGTGGACATCCTTAGTGGCCTCATCCTCAGGAACATCGGGCTAGTCCTCCGCTGGGAGTGGTGGAGCAGGAAACCCCTCGCAGTAGATGCATCTTTGAGATCGTGCTTTCGCCAAAGACACTAGTGTCCCCCTGCTCTGTGCAACCCTGCAGTGGAATCTGGAGGTAGGTGGCCAGACGGGTGATGAGGGGGGTGCAGTGGAGAGTCCCTAGTTGCGAGCACTCTTGTCCAAAGTCCTGGCCACCACAGAACCCAGGTGGAGAGGATGGTCCGCCGTGTAGATGGACTAGATGAAGTACATGGACCTCCTGGTGAGGGTGCTAGCACTGTCCCCAACTGGAGTGAAGGACTTCGCTAGCATGTAGGGTGCTAGCCTTCGTCCGCCCTACATGGAAGGGGAGGCTGACCAGGCTGAGCTAGGCGAGTGTAGAGCACCTTGAAATTAACACCCTCCTGATTGTTGACCTCGGTGATGTAGTCCTCGTCATCGTCTAGGCCGAGGTCGAGAGCGACCGCCAAATCGTGGTAGCTCATGGAGCAGGGCTCCCAGCCGAGCCTGAACTTGACGGCATCGACGTCCGCCCAGTCGGTGGTATCTTCGTGCCGGAAGGTTATATAGAACTCGAGCACCAGCTCGTGGTAGACCTTCTCTCAAATGGACAATAGACGACGCCATGTGCGGTTGGTGGCGATGGCGAGGAAGTGGTCGTAGCAATGGAGCTTCTCAAATTCCCTCCTGGACCAGTAGTGATGCTGCCCAAACTTGGATGCCAGGACGCGCTTGAAGCGATCCTTGTAGGGGCCCCTCTTCAAATCTCGGATGAACAGGTGCTTGAGGTTGGGTTTCGACATGGTCCTGCAAGAGAACAACCCAAAGTGGAGCCAAAAGAGCCATAGAAAAGGTTAATCACACCCCCGCACTTGATAGCAGAAAACAGCCGAACCATAGTTTCATCCATAGTTCGGGGGTCAATAACTCGAGTAAACAAGCACAATCTGGGTAGGGGTGCACATCCATAATGAAGTAGGCAACTTCAGGTTCACATCCATAGCAAATACACCATCAAAGCACATCACTAAGGGCCCCAACAGGCTCCCATAAAATGGTATAAAAAACTGGCATTTCATCTAACACCTTGTGTGCGCTTTTAAGTTTAGCATATAATGGGCAAATTCCTAGCACACAAGGGCACAATCAAGCATGGGAGAGATTGCATCCACATATAATCCAAGCCTTCCCCTTAATCAATTGCACACAATTCACACATTTCATAGAGATTCTCTAAACATACACCCTAACACCCAATTCTCCACAATTCACAAGGTAAAGGGAAAAATCAAACCTGGAGACACAAGTAGAGGTATAGAGGATGAAGAGGGGAAGGCCGCGGAAGCGACGGAAGCTCGAAAATCAACCCGAAAATGCTCGTCGGAGCCTCGCCGGAGTCTCGTCGGAAATTGCCTCCGGTGACTCAAAAACGGGCCAAATCGCCTCAAAATCGATGGATAGGCCGAAAAGGAGAGGGAAGGGTGGGTGTGGAGTTGGATTGGTGAAAGATCGGCCAAAAATGGTCGGATAATCGCCAAAGAGGTGAAGGGGCGCAGTTTTTCGCCGAGGGGAAGAGGATTCTGGCGAGTGGTTTTTGAAATTCTGGCCAATGCGGCCGTGTCAGCCCATTTTATATGCGTGGGGTTGGCCACACGGGCAGGCCACACGGCCGTGTGGACTGGGTTTTTGCCCGTATGGCGTCGAGAAATCCACACGGGCTGGCGGAGGTTTCCACACGGCCGTGTGAGGGACCCCTGCTGCCCGTGTGGATCTTCCAGGGCCTTCACACGGCCAAAGGCCAATTCCACACGGCCGTGTGGAATTCCAGAGCCCTGAATTCGACCTGTTTTCGCGCAAAATTGACATTCGAACCTTGGACAACATCTCAAGACTCAAAAACACAAAAAAAATCAAAAAGAAAAAGGAAAGGAAACGCAAACCTAGGTGGGGTTGTCTCCCCAAAAGCGCTTCTTTACCGTCTTATAGCTGGACGCCCATGGCGGAACTAAGGGTCTGCGAGTTCCACTACAAACTCTGCACGTTCGGCCTCGTCTCCCAAGTAGAGCTTGAGACGATGGCCATTTACTTTAAACGGTTCAGTTTGCGAGTTGCCAATTTCAATCGTGCCATACGGGAACACCTGTGTGACCGTGAATGGTCCATACCATCGGGAACAGAGATTTCCGGGAAAGAGCTTCAGGCGAGAGTTATAAAGGAGAACTCGATCACCAACCTGAAACTCCTTCGGACCCCGCAACCGTGCATCGTGCAGGCGCTTAGTGCGCTCCTTGTACAGCTTGGTGTTCTCATAGGCGTGATAACACCATTCCTCCAGCTCCAGCATATGCATTTTGCGCTCAACACCTGCAACACTGACATCCAAGTTGAGCAGCTTAAGGGCCCAAAAGACCTTGTGCTCTAGCTCCACGGTAAAATGACATGCCTTTCCATAGACAAGTCGGTACGGTGAAGTACCAATTAGTGTCTTGTAGGCAGTGCGGTATGCCCAGAGCGCATCATCGAGCTTGGTGGACCAATCCTTGCCGGAATGATCCATCGTATTCTCCAGGATACGCTTGAGCTCCCGGTTCGTCAGCTCGGCCTGGCCCCTTGTTTGAGGGTGATAGGCCACGACCCTGAAAATGGGTTCCTCGATCGCTTATGATGGCTCTAGGTGTCCCGAACCGGGAGAATAGCTTCTTCAAAAAACGGCAAACACGTCTAACATCATTAGTGGGCAAAGTTTCGCCTCAGCCCACCTAGAGACGTAGTCAACAGAAACCAAGATATAAGTATTGCCAAAGGATGGAGGGAAGGGGCCCACGAAGTCGATACCCCAGACATAAAAATTTCACAGGTTATAAACATGTTCTGGGGCATCTCATCACGGGCAGAGATGTTACATGACCTCTGGCATCGGTCGCACCTGCGTGCAAAGGCGTCTGCGTCCTTGAAAAGCGTGGGCCAGTAAAAGCCCGATTGTAGCACCTTCCTCGCCGTGCAGTTTCCTCCGTGATGACCGCCAGTAGGTCCTTCATGACAGTGAGATAGAATGCCCTCCATATTACTCTCCATAACACAGCAACGGATGATCCCGTCGGCTCCGATTCTGAAGAGATGAGGGTCATCCCAGAAGTAATGCTTCAGGTCGGAGAAGAATTTCCTGTTGGTGTGAGTTGTCATCCCCTTAGGCAACTGCTGGCCCACCAGATAGTTCACAAAATCAGAGTACCAAGAGGTGACATACTCCACCAGGCACATCATCATCAACCTCTCATTTGGGAAGGAGTCGTTGATCTCCTCCTCGAGGTTGTCCGCTGGAAGTGCGTCCAACCGGGAGACGTGATCGGCTACAACATTTACAGCTCCCTTCTTGTCTCGAATCTCGATGTCGAACTCCTGCAATAGTAGGATCTATCGTATGAGCCTAGGCTTGGCATCAGCCTTGCTCATCAAGTATCGAATCGCGGAGTGATCCGTGTACACGGTCACATGAGACAAGACCTGATAAGGACAAAACTTGTCGAAGGCAAACACCACTGCAAGCAGCTCCTTCTCCGTGGTTGTGTAGTTCTCCTGGGCAGGATTTAGGGTCTTTGAGGCGTTTTAGATAGGTCGAAAGTGTTGATCTCGCCTCTGTCCAAAGACAGCTCCAACAGCAATGTCACTGGCATCGCACATCAGCTCAAATTGTATGGACCAGTCAGGAATAACCATGATAGGAGCTTGGGTGAGCTTCTCCTTCAAGTTCGTGAATGCCGCTGTGCATGCATTAGTGAACTGGAAGGGGGCATCCTTCTCAAGGAGCTTAGTCAGGGGCAGGGCGATCTTCGAAAAATACTTGATGAACCACCTGTAGAACCCTACATGGCCTAAAAAACTCCAGATCCTCTTAACAGATGTAGGAGGAGGCAACTTGTTGATAGTCTCAATCTTTTCTCTATCCACCTCAATCCTCATCTTGGAGATCTTATGCCCCAAACTATGCCTTCGCGAACCATGAAGTGGCACTTCTCCCAACTCAGTGCCAGGTTCGTTTCTTCACATCGTTTAAGGACGAGTTCCATGTTATGGAGACAGTGAGAGAATGAGTCTCCATAAACCAAGAAATCATCCATAAACACCTCCCTAATCTCGCCGACCAGGCTATTAAAGATGGCGAGAATGCATCACTGAAAAGTGGCAAGGGCATTACATAGCCCGAATGTGATCCTCCGGTAGGCAAATGTGCAGAAGGGGCAGGTGAAAGTGGTCTTCGCCTGGTCCTCCGGTGCAATGGGGATCTGGAAATACCCGGACATCCCATCCAGGAAACAGTAGAACTCGTGCCCCTCCAGTCTCTCCAGCATCTGATCAATGAATGGCAGCGGGAAGTGGTCCTTCCGAGTGGTGCCGTTGAGACGCCGATAATCAATGCAGAAACGGTACCCAGTCACCGTGCGCATCAGGATGAGCTCGTTCTTCTCGTTAGGCACCACGGTCATCCCACCCTTTTTGGGTACCACCTGGGTGGGACTGACCCACTTGTTGTCTGAAATGGCGAAGATGATCCCTACATCAATCAGCTTCACTATCTCTGCCCAAACCATGGCCTCCAGGTTCGGCGTTAGTCCCCCAGATATTTGTGATCTTCCACGCTAGAGCTCGCTCGTACTGCTTCAACAAGGCCACCAGTCTGACCTTCTGCTCGGGTGTGAGGGTCGAGCTGATGATGACTGGAAGCTTATTCCCCTCCTGGAGAAATGCATACTCCAAATGAGGAGGGAGGGGCTTTAGCTCCAGCTCTGGTGGTTCCTCCAAGGAATGTGCCACTCTCTAGCGCGGCCAACTGCTCCGCCAGTTGCGGCTCCTGCGATGCCTGCTCACCTAGCAAAATACAACACTCAAGAGCATTGTCAGTACCCGCACTCGTTATAGCGAGTGCGGTCTCAAAATCAGCAAGCACATCACAGTAATCTAAGTCATCATGCAAATGGGAGTGTTTCCCATTCTCAGACATAGAAAAAGTAGCATGTTTATCACCAGTACGCATGATCAATTTACCACTATGCACATCAATAAGCATCTTGGCGGTGGCGAGAAATGGTCTACCCAAA